GTTTTTGATAAAGTCCAATTTATCTATTTGTTCTTTTTCAAAATAGTTTTGGTTATTTAGATTCATTGTAATTCCATATGAATTTTATTTTTCTTTATTTTAGAGAGAAAGAGAGTACAAGCAGGGGGAGAGGGGCAGAGGAAGAGAAAGAGAATGTGAGGCAGGTGACACGCTCAGCATGGAGCCCGATGTGGGGCTCATTGCCACGACCTGAGCCAAAATCAAGAGTCAGACACTGAACCGACTGAGCCATGCAGCCACCCCTCCATATGAATTTTAGGACTAGCTTGTCAATTTCTATAAAGAAGTCAACCAGCGTTTTGATAGGATTGCATTGGATCAAGTTGGAGATATTACTATATTAATAATGTTAATGATTCATGTCTGGATGCTTTAATTTGCATTTCTCTGAAGATGAATGATAGCACTTTTTCACACATTTATTGGCTTTTTGTATCTCTTCCTTTGTAAAGTGTTCCAGTCTTTTACATGTTTTTTTTTTTTTTTTTTTTTTTTATGTTTATTTTTGAGACAGAGCATGAGCAGGGTAGGGACAGAGAGAGGGAGACACAGAATCTGAAACAGGCTCCAGGCTCTGAGCTCTCAGCACAGAACCCGATGTGGGCCTCGAACCCACGAACTGTGAAATCATGACCTGAGCTGAAGTCAGACACTCAACCAACTGAGCCACCCAGGCGCCCCTTTTACCTGTTTTAAAAATTGGATGGTTTGACTTTTTATTAGAGAGTTGTAGAAATTCTTTAAATATCCTAAATACCAGTTCTGTGTCATATATGTATTTTGAATATTTTCTGCCAGAGGTATCATTTGCCTATCCATTTTTTATTAATAGTGTCTTTGATAAATAGTTGTTAATTGTGATAAATTCTAATTTCTATTTTTTCTTTTATAATTGCTGCTTTTAAAAAATTTTATTTTAGAGAGACAGAGCAAGCAAGGGAGAGGGGGAGAGAGAGAGAGAGAGAGAAAGAGAGAGAGAGAGAGAGAGAGAGAGAGAGAGAGAGAATCTTAAGTAGGCTCCACGCAGAGCCAGATGCATGGCTCGATCCCACAATCTGTGATCATGACCTGAGCCAAAATCAAGAGTCAGACACTCAATCAACTGAGACACCTAGGTGCCCCTATAGTTGTTGCTTTCTATGTCCTGTTTATGAAAGCTTTGCCTATCCTCAAGTCATATAAATGTTCTTCTGTCTTTTCTCTTAGGATCTTCATAATATTAGCCTTCATATTTCAAATTATTTTCTGTGTGTACTGTAAATAAGTTATTGAGATTTTTTTTTCTTTCTATAGAGATATATAGTAAAACCTTGGTTTGTGAGCTTAATTTGTTCTAGAAACATGCTTATAATCGAAAGCACTTGTATATCAAAGCAAATTTCCTCATAAGAAATAATGGAAACTCAAATGATTCATTCCACAAGCCAAAAATATTCATATAAAAATGATTACAATACTGGGGCACCTGGGTGACTCAGTCGGTTAAGCGTCCAACTTTGGCTCACGTCACGATCTCACAGTTCATGAGTTCAAGCCCTGCATCGTGCCCTGTGCTGATAGCTCAGAGCCTGGAGCATGCTTTGGATTCTGTGTCTCCTTGTCTCTCTGCCCCTCACTTGCTCATGCTCTGTCTCTCTCTCTCTCTCTCTCTCAAAAATAAACATTAAAAAGATTTAAAAAATATTACAATGCTGTAATATAATACAAAATAATAAAGAAAATACAAAATAGAAGGAAAAATAACTGGCACTTACCCTTGAAAACCTTCATGGCTGGTGTGAGGGAGACAAGAGAGAGGAGGGTAATTGTGTAGGACTTTCCCTATCACTAACAGAATCACTGCTATCTATTGGCTCAGTGGAATCTTTTTGGGCATAGGGACAATTGTATACATTCGCACACATGTTGACTACAATACAGTATTAATAACCTTTTGTCACATACTGTATTTAAGGTAACCGGCAATAAGGCAGCAGAGGAAAGGGTCTCTATCTGCAGTCAGCCTGACCTAGAGTGAAGCAAAGCATTCCTAAGCAAACTCTTGTATGGAAAAGCAAAGGACTGTCCACAGGTGCTTTGAAGTGGCAAAAAATGCTTTAGTGCCAGTTGTGGGCACCTACCAACATTCTGAAAAATCACTGATTGCTTCCAAACACCACAGCCTGAGATTGATCATCTGAGCATGGGAGAGGATCACTCACAATCCTGCAGTGAGAGAGAGAGAGAGAGAGAGAGAGAGAGAGAGAACACCACTGGCTTAGTTGTGATCATGTGACATTAGGCATCATGTGCTACTTGTATTGCCATTCATTGCTCGTTTATCAAGTTAAAATTTAAAGTGTTTGCTTAACTTGCAGAACACTCACAGAACAAGTTACTTGCAATCCAAGGTTTTATTGTATGGTTATTCAGTCACAATATTTTTTATAGTTTCTTTGAATCACTTTATTTCATAACCAGACCTTACAGACGTTCATTTTTTTTTTTTTAGTTTTTACCAACCTAGACTTTCACTTTTGCATTGTCTTCTGGTGGGCACTAAATTTTCATTTGGAAGTTTTAGGATGAAGAAAGGAAGAACTATGAATCTGCAGGTGGTCAGCTCTGTCTCAGTCAGCCTTGGCTGGATTCTTCTGTATACTGTATGATCACAAGTTTGAAAGAACAGTTATAAGGATGCAGTTAGTTCACTGAAAGAGAAAACTAAGTTTGCAAACAAAGGTTTATTTTAACCCTGAAAAATCAATTGATGGAGAAACTTTAAATATTCATATATTTTCCTCTCTGTTAAAACTTGAGTCTTGTTCTTTGGCTTAGACTATCTTCTTCCATCAAACAACTGTCAGACACCCAGAATCCATTATGGTTATAACACTGATATTCATGTAGCACTATGTGATTTATAAAATACTCTCACAGGTAGGTAGGTAAGGCAGTAATGATTTATCCAATCAAATAAGAGGGATGAGGGGCGCTTGGGTGGTTCAGTCATTTGAGCCTCTGACTCTTGATTTTGGCTCATGTTGTTATCCCAGTGTTGTGGGATTGAGCCCGGTGTCAGGCTCTGTGTTGTGCATGGAGCCTGCTTAAGATTCTGTCGCTCTCCCTGTCTCCCCGACTCGAGTTTGCTCACTCTGTCTCTCGCTCGCTCGCTGTCTCTCAAATAAACAAATAAATAAAGCACATTGCAGCGCTGACCGGCTAGGTAAGTTACCTGTGGTTATGAAGCTGGGGCTAGAATTTAGATCTGACTCTGTGAGTTCAGGGGCTCCACCTCAATATGTTACTGGATAAGCATTCAGCTTTCTTGAGATGAAAAATAATGGTCTTGATCTCTGTGCATTTAAATCCTTCTCTCTCCCTTATTGCTCTGCTCCTCTTCCCTCCCATCTCAGTCTGTCTGTTGTCCACAGTGTCTGGCATTTGGCCAAAGAAATGGTTACAGGAAACCAATATACTTAATGTATACAAAATGTGCAGACAGTCTGTTTAGCATCCATTCAGATTTGATGCTTTGGAATAACTTAGCAGATAGACTGAATTTGTTTTTAATATAGTAGTACATTTCTCCTAAAAATCATTAATTTTTTAGTCCTCATATCGTAAAAAAATTTTTTTGAGTGTAATTGACATACAATATTAAATTAGTTTCTGGGTGCCTGGGTGGCTCAGTGGGTTGAGTGTCTGACTTTGGCTTAGGTCATGATCTCACAGTTCGTGAGTTTGAGCCCCACGTCAGGCTCTGGAATGTGCTTTGGTTTCTGTGTCTTCCTCTCTCTCTGCCCCTCCCCCACTTATGCTCTTTTTTCAAAAATAAACATTAAAAAATAAAAATAAATAACGAAATAACTTTCAAATATACAAGGTAGTGATTCTGCAAGTTTCTACATTATGCCATGCTCACCACAAGTGTAGCTACAATCTGTCACCATGCAATGCTATTACAATGTCATTGACTATATTCCTTATGCTGTGAGTTATATTCCTGTGACTTATTCATCCCATAACTGGAACCCTATATCTCTCACTTCCCTTCACCCATTTGGTATCCTCCCACCTCCCTCCCCTCAGGCAACCACCCGTTTGTTCTCTACTTATATCTTTTTTTTTAGTTAATAGATTTTAATGTTTAGAGAAGTTTCAGGTTTACAGAAAAATTGAGCAGAAAGTCCAGAGAGTTACCTATACTGCCACTCTTCCACACACACATTTTTCCCTCTTATTAGCATTTTGTATTAGTGTAGCACATTTGTTACAATTGATGAGCCAAAATGGACAGACACACTATTCTTAATTAGAGCTCGTATTGTGTTTTGAGAAATGTATAATGATGTGTTTCCATTATTACAGAGTCACACAGAGTGACTTCCTTGCCCTAAAAAAACCACTGTTCTTCACCTCTTTGTCTTTCCCTTCCCCCAGCCCCTGGCAACCACTGATCTTTTTAGAATTTTCATACTTTGGCCCTTTCCAGAATGTCACATCATTGGAATTATACAGTATGTAGCTTTTTCAGACTGGCTTCTTTTACTTAGCAATATGCATTTAAGTCTTCACCATGTCTTTTCATAGCTTGAAACCTCATTTATTTTTATCACTGAATAATACTGCATCATATGGATATATCACAGTTTGTTTATTTTTTCGCCTTTTTAAGTATTTTCAACATCTGCTTCACTCTCATAAAGCACAAACGTGGATTTTTTTTAAGAGATGGGGAAAAAAAAAAAACCCTGCCTATTAGAAAGTGAATTAAATTCCTCTGTAAAGGAAAGGAGTGGGGAGTGCACATTCTCTTCATATCTGAAAAGTTTAAACTGGACATACATAAACAGAAGAACTTTGAGAATCATTCCTATGTCCTTCTAGAATGGACACTGTGGGCAAGAGTGCCTTGGAAATCTGAATAAATAAGTTCATGATCATTGTGAGAACCTGAAAGTACTTTCCATAAAAATTCCTCTTTGTCTGTTGTCCAGTGTGTCAGGAAGCTGTCTGGGAAGCCTTCCGGACATTTTGGGATCGACTTCCTGGACGTGAGGAATATCGTTACTGGATGAATTTGTGTGAGGATGGAAACACAACTATATTTGAAATGGGCACAAATTTTAGTCAGTCTGTGGAACATAGAAATTTAATTATGAAGGTAAGTGTACTAACAAGGGCAGAATTGCTGGACTATTGTAGGAGTGCCTACACACAGCTCAGGCTTGAAGGAAGAAAGAGCAACACCAAACACCTGCATTACTTTTGTTGTTGAATTAGGCTATTTGAGTGAGCTGCCATAGGGCATGGCCGAGTCTTTGTATCCCTAGCTCTGGCTGTTAAAATAAACATTGTTAACCCAGTAAGAGCCTCAGGCTTATGTTTATAAATGTAAATATTTGGAAATAATACTCAGCAAAGGTTTAGGCTAAGAGTATAAGTCTGCGAGAGTCACTCTTGCCAAGGTTTTGCATATTATCAATTCAGAGTAGCTACCAATGACACTAAGATATAGTTCATTGAATAAATGTTTAGTAAAGTATAAATATGATTCTACTTAATGAATTTGCTTACTTATTTTCCTTCTTTTAGAGCTATCTTATTCTTAGCAAAGGATAAATAAGCATGCATATAGACAAATTACCTGCCCACCTTCCCTTTTCATGTAGCATGCATGTATTCATTATGAGAAAATAGAGAGTGAGAAGGGGGAGAGGCAGAGAGAGAGGGAGACAGAAGAACCAAAGTGGGCTCCATGCTAGCAACAGAGAGCCTGATGCGGGCTCTGTCCCATGAACCTTGAGATCATAACCTGAGCTGCAGTCGGACACTTAACCAACTGAACCACCCAGGTGTCCCTCTTCTGTTTTTAACTGCTCAATATTAATAAATATGAGAATAGCTACCAGTTATGTATGTACCATGTACCAGGCCACATATTAAGCCTATTAAAAGCATATTTAATAACAACTCTACAAGGAGGAGTTACTAATATCCGCAATTTATAGATAAGAACATTAGGCATCAGAGTTATTCCTTACTCTAGATTATAAAACCAGATGGGCTGGAGCTTAAAATCAAACATAGTTTTCTTTTTTAAAAAAGTTATTTTTTTACCCTTTACCATTGGGCCTTCCTTCTAGTCATTACCACTTTTGCAAATTGCAGTGGCTAATATGGAATAGCTATTAACTGAAAAAAAATACACATATACATATCTACACACATTTATATTTATGTCAGCATTGCCCATCTCAGTTGTGTCCACACTATGGAAGCAGTTGACAGAGCAGCAAATACAGATGATGTATAGCAAATGTATAGTTAGTATTAGCATTAACAATAGCCTCTTGTGATATTACATTGCAAGGTATTTTTTTTTTTTTACAAGTGCAACTTTTAGAAAGGTAAGATCTAAAGGTGTTGGAAATACACTTTCAATGATTATTTAGTACAACATGGAGACAAAGGGGGTGATATGAGACCTGGATTGAATCTTAAATAACAAGTATAAGTGAGCTGAATGAGGAGTTTGGGATGAACAGTCCAGACAGAGGGGGATAGCATGAGACAGATGTTGATAGGGAATGACTTGGGCCAATATACGGGAAGGGTAGACAATAAGTGACAAGAGATCAGACTGGAAGCTGGAAGAGTAGATAACTCTGGGGATGATAAGAAACTGTTGATGTGGAAATGGGATTCAGAGCCACTGGCCAAGAAAGAATTCTTCAGGCATCTTTGGTGCAAAATGGTGGTTTTATTACAGCACAAGTGACAGGACCTGTGGGCAGGAAGACCTGCCCTGGGATTGCCCTGAGTAACTGATTATATACCTGGGACTTGGGGGAGGTAAAGTCGAGGGGAAGTTTGCAAAAAGATTTTTCTAATGCTAAAGAAGACTCACAGGATCCTGAAGGCCTAGCTATTGTCAAGCTAAGGTTGTTTTTACCTCAAGCGAAGCATTGACATTAAAACAGTTGAGAGTTCCTGAAGAAATGTCATACTCTGCCTGTCTCAAGTGTTTGTCAATGGGCTGCAGGTTATAAGGAAATTTAAATTTATCTACATTTCTTTTGCCTTTGTTCTCCACATTATAAGTAGGTGAGTCACAGAGGCTGATTGGACAGTTTTGAATTAAAAAGGTCATTATGGTTTCTATACACCATGGGGTGAATTGGAGGCAACAAGACTGGAGCAGGAAGACTAGTAATTACTGCATATCTGAGGAAATGAGGGTCCTAACTAGAAAAAAGATAGAGAAAGGAAGCACAAGAGATGCAAATAGGAAAAAATACTAGTAGAACTCTGTGACAGGTCAGATGGGAGTGGGAGAAGAAGAAGGAATGGCCTGGGAAGCTTCCTCATTTCTAGTCTGGATGACTAAGACCAAGAACTTGGGCACAGAAGCAGCTTTGTAGATGTAGTGGGGAGATTGAGTTCACTTTTGAATGTGTTGTTTTGAGCAATCTGTGAAATGCGAATTGCCTGATTTAGGTTTGAAGCCAAGGAGAGTGGTTTGGGTTATAAATATAGCTGTAGGAGTCATCTGGCTTGACGTGGCAATTGAAAGCATTTAGACTGGCTGAGACTATTCTAGGAGAGTTTGTAGAGCAAGAAGAGCAATGAGTTATTTATAAATATCATGAGAGTTATTTAGAATAATAGTCTTTCCATTTTATAGAGGAGATATTGAGAGATTTGGGGGTTTGCCTTTATATCTAAGCAAGAGAAAATGGGACTTGAAGTTAGGTCTTCTAACTTAGTGTTCTTTTTATTATATTGGCCTCAAAACAAAATCACTAATTTAGAGGAAACTTAGGGACAGTTTGCTTTAGAATGTCCCAGAGGAGAAATCCAGTTATTGTTATAATTTATCTTTTTGTCTGAATTCTGGAGAAACAGATTTAGCATTTATTTTATCCACATGTCCCTATTATTCTATTATGAGAGTTTCCATAAACATGTTAGATCACAAAAAACTTTGATTCTAAGTCCATGGAAGGTTAATGTAAAACTCAACCAATCTCCAATCTATAGATCTTTTTGGAATGATTAGCAAGTGAAGTCTATTAATCTGTGCCCATTAAGAAAGAGCACGGGAACTTTTGGAAACATAAACAGAGAGTGAGTGCCAGGACATTCCCACAGTCACAAAACAAACTTGGCATCATTAGTACCTTGCTTTAATTGTTTGCTTAACCATAGAGAAAAACAACATAGATTTGTAAAATAACAGTATAATGTTAGAGCATTAGTGTTTTCCATGCAGTACATTTTATGTACTGCCTATTAACTGTCATTAACTCACACAGTCATGTTTATCTTTGTTTTCCTTAGAAAATGACATATACAAAGGAAACTGTAAGCAGGTAAGTGTCTTTTTTTCCCCAATTTCATGTTTGGCAACTGAGATATGTCATACCTATTCCAAGACTCACCCCCAATTTAATGGCTCTGTTCTATTTTCTTGCCAGTTCCTGCAGTCACCAGGGCTGTGGGTAAGTCCCAAATTGTTTTCCTCATCTTGAAGCCACTTCCCATTCAAGGCTACCATCACAGTCACTGTGCTTGTTTACTTTCTGAACTTGCCAGGAGGCAGACTTATTCCTTTCTCTTGAGTGAGAAAAATAGACTTCTGGAAATGGAATATGGAATGATCTACTTAAGTTGAGGTTTATGCACTAATAGTAAAAATGTTATAAAATGTTACACCTTAGTGGAGAATAGTTTATTAAATGGTAGTTGGTAGTGTGGATCACTTTACTGAGAAATGATGATTATGATCTTGAAATACAGGAATAACATGGAGTGCCTTGGGGGGCTCAGTCGGTTAAGCATCTGACTCTTCATTTTGGTTCATGTCATGATCTCACAGTTCATGGGTTCGAGCCCCACATCAGGCTCTGCACTGACAGTGTGGAGTGTGCTTGGGATTCTCTGTCTCCCTTTCTATCTGCCCCTCCCCCATTCATATTTTCTCTCTCTCTCTCTCTCTCTCTCTCTCCCCCCCCCCCCAAAATAAGTAAACTTAAAAAAAAAGAAATATAGCAATAACACAACCTTGATGAATCCTGCAGTATTAGGATTCTTGGCTCTATCGGCCTTTAGGTTTAGGATTAAGGTCATTTCTGGGTCCTGAGCAATAGCAGTACAGAGCAGATCATGGAAGTGAGGAATTTAGTGTATAAGGATTAAAGATTTCAATTCTGTCCCTACTCAGAGTATCTAGATTATGCCAGTGTGGGAATGATTATATAGAAAAACACCATTAGGGCGGACAATCCAGATCAATGCCTCAAATGAGAGAGGAAGACAGATTGAAAAACCAGTTAGGTGAGTCAGTGCCTGGAGATCCAAGCTGGGCAGCAGAGGCCAGGCCAAAGCATAGTTGGAGTACACATGTGACTTAGTGGGGCATATGTAGGGGTCAGATCAAACATGAGTAAACAGAAGGGAAGAGGACTCTGTGGTCTCACTCATTCATACAACTAATGTTACCACTGGGTCTCTGCTGGGGCCTGGGATGAACACCCACTTAGATGCTGGGCCATGTGTTTTCTTAGGTGTGGGCTTTCACCACTGAGAAGCAGAGCTTGGAAGTTGCTTGTGATTGCCATTGCAACACCCAAGCAGTGAACTAAGTACTCTGGTGAGTCCCACCAGTCCTAGTAATCTTCATGATTGTAACTAATGAAATGGTGGCACATTTTACACATCTTATATAGTTAAGATGTATGTAAACAGCATAATGCATATGGCACTTAACCTAGAAGAAGCTCTGAAGTTTACTGGGAAGTGGATGTTAGCAAGTTTGTAGCTTGTGGGTTATTATCAAGTGGTGGAAGGAAGCTTACCTGAAATAGGGTGGACAATTGTAACACCATCTGAGAGTGAGTGTGGCTCATGGCACAGGGGTAGCCGGAAGATATGTAAGGTGTGGTGTGTGTATGTTTTGTGTATTCCTGTGTGGCTCACTTCAACTGGCTGCAGCTTTCTTTGGCTTCCTATAGCATTTCTCACAATGAAATTATGCATAAATAAAGGAGAAATTTTGTGTTATGCTCATTTCTTGCTGTGATAATCACACTGGAACAAATTCATAAATGAGCATCATAGCAGGGCTCACTGAATCGTATATTTTTATTGATAAGGCACTGTCTGTTCTACGTATAAGGAACTGAAAATATGATTTACCGTGCTTAGAAAATAACATATGTACTAAAAGAACAATATATGAAAATATAAATGAATATTGAGAAATTTAAAGTTTAAAGTATCTTTCCAATCTAACTAGAACAGATGAGGCTGGGGTGGGGTGAAAACTGCCAACCATGGTAGTTGCTGAAAGGGGTGACCTGGGGTTAGGTAACACTGGGAGTGAAACCATGGGAGTGGCTAGCCTAAGAATTCACTAAGCCCATCTTTATCCAACTTGAGTTCTTTTCTTTCTTTTTCTTTTTTTTTAATATTTATTTATTTTTGAGAGACAGAAACAGAATGTGAGCAGGGAGTCACAGAATCCGAAGCAGGCTCCAGCCTCCAGCTCCAGTCGGAGCTGTCAGCACAGAGCCCAACACGGGGCTTGAACCCACAAACTGCAAGATCATGACCTGAGCTAAAGTTGGATGTTTAAACCACTGAGCCACCCAGGCTCCCCTATCCAACTCGAGTTCTATAGTGATCCATTGTAACCCTTTATGTGTTCTTCACTTTTGTATATTCAAATTTATTTTTATGATTTTTTTGAGATTACTCTCGTATTTTCAGTGTTGAGATTCTTGTGTTAGATTTTATTGCTGCTGTAGCAAATTACCACAGACTCCGGTAGTTTAAAACAACACAAATTTGTCCTACAGTTACATAGCTCAGAAATCTGACGTGGGTCTCAAGATGTTGCCAGGTTTGCATTCCTTTCTGGAAACTGTAGTGGAGAATCTTTTTTTTTTTTTTTTTTTTTTTTTTTTTTTTTTGCCTTTTCCAGCTTCTAGAAACCACCCACGTTGCTTGGCTCATGACCCCCTTCCATCTTCAAAGCTAGTAATGGCTGGGCAAGTCTTTCTCACATTTCATCACTCTGACATTCTTCTGCCTCTTCTTCCACATTTAAGGATCCTTATGATTGTGCTGGATCCACCTGGATAAACCTGGCTACACTCCCCATTTTAAGGCCAGCTGATGAGCAACCTTAATTCCAACTGCTACCTTAATCCTCCTTTGTATGTAATTTAACATACTCACAGGTGCTGGGGATAAGGATGTGGAGGCCACTATCGTTCCTATCACAGTTCTCTGTAATTTAAATTGCTGCTTCTCTGTGAACTCTAACCCACCTGCTGACCTAAGCCTTGCATCAAATACTCTGTTCTGTATCACTTTAAGCTTCTCCTACTATCATCTGTCCACTGTCTTAAAAAAAAAAAAACAAAACAAAACCATTTTTCACCTTACTTAGGACCCTACATTTAATCTTACCTCTTAGACATCTCTCGATCATTGTTTCTCTCTCTCTCCTGAGTCTTCACCTTCTCCCATTACTAACTCCTTATGAGCATTTAAACATGCTCAAATCTCTCCCATGTTCCCTATTTACAAAAAGCCCTCCTCCAGCACTTGTCTCCATTATAGTTGGATATCTTGAAAGCATCTCCACTTAGCTCCAGTCAATGCTTAACCCCCTACCTTTTGGACTTCCTGTATAGTTTCCATAATCAGTACAAAGCCCCACCTACGTTATGTGTTCACCAAATAGTTGTTAAATGAATAACTGAGTTTCTGCTCAATTACCCAAGTTTATTATCAGGTCTCTGGTGATATTCTTAATATAAGAGCTGTTCTTTGGGATTTTATTTTGTACATCAATTAACTTACATTTGTAGTTGAGGATGCCTATCATGGATCACAAAACCAAATATACATTTTTTTTAAACAAATGTTTTATTTTATTTGGTACATGTATATCCCTGCTCCATTATCCTCTGTTTTCTCTTATATTTGTTTAGCATTTCATATTTTTGTAATGCTTTTGCATATAATATTTCATTTAGTTTTCACCAATACCTTTGAGAAATAGGTAGGGTAGGGAAGTATTCCTGTTTTGGAGATTAAGTTCTTGAGGCCCAGAGCAACTGAGATATTTTTCTAAGGTGTACACAAAGTTAATGATACTTCTGGGACCAGCACCAAGGATTCCTGGCTCTGTGCCTTGAGTTCTTTTGTGTCATGTTCTGATCACAGTTAACAGATTCAAGGGCAGAGCAGAGTATAGAGAATTGTCAAGGGGAGTAGTAATCTAGATGTGAAATTATGCTTATGCTCTGTGTGGCTGTGCTATCTTTTGATACAGTCTCACCTGAATTCTGAGAAAATTAGGCAGTAGCGGTGAAGTAATAAATTATGTGCTGGCTGAGCTGAGGAGATGAAAATGTAGGAGGTTGTTTGTTGCTGGTATGAAGCTAAAGGTCTTAGCTGAACAACCTCAAATTTGTGGTTCGGCCTAGAAATGTACTAGTATTTCTGTCTCCAAACTCAATACAACTCTGTGTTCTAGTTCTGTTGTGACATTTTAGGGTATCTCTGCAGGAGGCATACCTAATGAGAACATGTTGAAAGGATTCTTGTTGTTAAGTGTTTGTTTTTTGCTGTTTTCTGAAAGGAGAGTGGGAAAATGAGGGATTAAGAGTTGGAATGATTTGAATTACTGAGAGTTGCCTACTTACCATCATTAAAATAATGTTAATTTGAATTCAGTAAGTGTAAGAAATCTAGTTCTGCTGAAGTAAACAAACTTCTCCATTGTGAATGCTTCCTTAGAGAATTAACTTAAATTTAATTAATTATTTGCTTATTATTTTAGTTGCAGTATTTCTTTTTAATTTAAATTAAAAAAATTTTTAATTAAAGTATAGTTGACATACAACTTTTTGTCACTCAACATAGCATAGTCATTCAACAATTATATAATCACAAAATGCTTACCACCATAAGTGTAGTTACCATCTGTCACCATACAAGGTAATTATTATATTATTGACTGTATTTCCTATGCTTCATCCTTATCCCTGTGGCTTATTATTTATCAAATGTGATTTGGTGTGGGGGACAATTTGACTGATACCATGTGAGGTCTGGTTTCTTGGCCACATCATCCCAACTTCCAGTTCTAGTTACTGTGCTGTGCTTTGGCCCCTCTGTCTTGCTTTGACCTCTTTGTTCTCATAGCTGGTTCCTCTCCGTAGCTCTCCAACTTTGACTGGGTTTCCTTTCCTCTTTCTGGGACCTCACACACTGTGACCTTTAGGTCATTAAGTTTATGTAAGCTGTTATCATTACAACCATGTTGTTTGCCCTTCTAGTCAATATGGCTCACGTAAAGGCCATGTTGTGAGGAATTAAGATGAGTGAGAGTGAGGTTTCTCAATCAAATGGACCTGTTTTACATCATAGCTCCTCTATTGTCTAATTGTGTGACTCTGAGCAAATTCTTAACCTCTTCTAATATTAGTTTCCTCATAGGTATAAATGGGGATATTAGTATCTTCCTTTTAAGATTGTTGACACAATTAAGTGAGTTAACCATGATAAAACACTTAACACAATGCATGATTTATGATAAATTTAGTTGTACTCATTCTTTTTTTTTTTTTTAATTTTTGTTTTATTTTAGAGAGAGAGAGCATAAGTGCGGTGAGGAGAGGCAGAGGGAGAGAGACAGAATCTTAAGCAGACTCCATGCTCGGTACAGAGCCTAACCCAGGGCTCAATCCTATGACTCTGGGGTCATGACCTGAGCTGAAATCACGAGTTGAACACTCAACCAACTGAGCCACCCAGGTGCCCCCAGGTGTACTCACTCCTGCTGGTGTTATTATTGAAAAGGGAACTAGATACTGTTGGGAATTTTAAGTATAGCCTTGGGCCATATCAAGTCATTGTGTCATGCAGGAAAAATTGCTTTATTCATTTTTTCATCTATAAAATGAAGGTATTGGCAGGGGGTTCTACTTTGTGGACAACTGATAGATCCTATTCAGGCCTGATTATGTTAATGTCTGTCTCAAATGCATTTGAATCTTACTTGCTTTTAGCTCTATTCCCTGCAACTTGAGAAACCTCTTGATGCTTTCTCATCACCCAGGCCCTTTCTCCACTCATCACTCATAATAATGACTTATCCAGATGTCATATTCCTTAGGTTCTTCTAGATGACAGGTCACTGAGAAGCAATTTCCTGCAAATGCACTATAAAATAACCAAAAGTGATAGGTTTAGTGTAATGGTTTAATATGTTATTCTTTCTAGGTAGTATTTTTAAAAAGCAGAAGAATCTTTATGAGATTTGTAAAAACTCAGTTTCTCAAATTTTCTTTCTTTCTTTTATTTTTTTTAAAGATTTTTTTATTTTTTAAGTAATCTCTACACACACCATGGGGCTCGAACTCACAACCCCAAGCTCAAGAGTCACTCACTCCACCAACTGAGCCAGCCAGGTGCCCCAGTTTCTCAAATTTTCTACCAAAGCTTGGGAGTTTAGGGAACATTGCCCTAGTTGATTCCCCAACTCCACTGCCAGTCATGAAATGTTTTTGAAAGATCTTAATATCTTAATACTAACTTTAACTTTATAGTCAACTCCACAATATAGCCGTGTTTGTTTTAATATTAAAATGTTTTGAGTTACACATTAGTTCTTACTTAGTTCCCTACCTGCCTATGCTTCAAGTAAAACTGATGCTTCAGTATGTATATCATGTTTGTCTGGTGGCTTTGAGTAACCCCCTACACCCGCCCCCCAATGACCTTATTTAGAGCACTAGGACAATCTAACGGAGTGCTTCTGAAGATGGGAGTCACTGGCACATTGGCAAGTCTGTTAGGGAGACATTTTTGACTGTAATCACATCACCTTGGGAAGCTGACTTTTGTAAAGTTGAAGACAGTTTTCAACTCTTAACATTAATGTCATCAGCATCCAATAGATATAATCACCATCCAACTCCTTTGTAAAAGTTTAGTGGAACATCCCTTTTCCCTTAGGACATATCCACAAACTTTAAAGTTCTAAAACTTCCTAAAATTACTATATTTTAAATTTTATATTTTGGGGGTATGTGGAAATTTGGACTTGCAGAAACCTATTTTCTTTCCTTTGGAGGAGGGACTTTTCCAATTGTTTCGATTTTTTCTTCTTGTTGCAGAGCATCATGGTTAAAGGATAGCTGGTTACTTGTAGCCTGTTAGCAGTATGACCTATAGCAAGTCATTTCTCTAAGCTTGACTTTCTATAAATAAAAACATTTTATGATTTCTGTGATCCCTCAAATGAGATGAGATTTGTGGGTTTTTTCCCCCTTAGCAGCAAGTACCCTCCTACCAGTACTATTTGTTAAATTTGTAATCATTTATTTGTTGTCTATTTTCTGTAAGACTATAACTTTAATAGATCATGTTTGTTTTGTCCACACAATATTCCCGATGTCTTGTACACTGCCTGGCTAATGGTATTTTTTATTAATTTATCTTAAAAATATCTATTTAGTGCCTACCAAATACTAGATGCCTAGATACTATTTTAGGTTAGAGATAGAGTAAAAATATGAGATTCCTAATCTCAAAGAATTTATATTCTTTTTTTTTTTAATTTTTTTTTTCAACGTTTATTTATTTTTGGGACAGAGAGAGACAGAGCATGAACGGGGGAGGGGCAGAGAGAGAGGGAGACACAGAATCGGAAACAGGCTTCAGGCTCTGAGCCATCAGCCCAGAGCCCGACGCAGGGCTCGAACTCACGGACCACGAGATCGTGACCTGGCTGAAGTCGGACGCTTAACCGACTGCGCCACCCAGGCGCCCCAAGAATTTATATTCTTAACTGCAGTCCTGTTCAATAGAACTTTCTGCGATGAAGGATATGTTCTTTACTGTGCTGCCCAATATGATAGCCATTAGGCACATGTGACTGTGGAACACTTGAAATGTGGCCAGTATGAATAAGGAACAGAATTTTAAACTTTATTTAATTTTGGTTAATTTAAATTACCACATAAGTCCAGTGACTACCATGACAATGCCATTCTAGAGGATTAAGAGATTAGAGACAGAGATAAAGAAGTAGATAAATAAATCAACAAATAACTTCACATAGTGATAATAACTGAGAAGAAATCAAACAGGCTGATAAAATAGTAAGTAGGGGAAGTACTTTGTATAGGGTGATTCTACTTGAGTAGAAATCAGTACATGTAAGATAAATGAATTATGAAAACTATTATTTCTTAAACCTTGTTAAATCAGTACTTGGGTTTGGAAACACTTGTTTGGAGATCTAGTGAGTTCCTTTTGGGAAAATAAACCCCAAAATATATCCACATATTTCTATCATTTTTATTAATGTTAAACATTTTTTACCTTAGCCCTGAATTGTCATCTCCAGTTCCTGTTGGTGATGCCCCAACATCAGGAGGTATGTTCTTGTGCATTTATTCACTTTTTAAAAATTATTTGTGGTTTAAGATGATCTTGTAAGCAAGCACATGTTCCACCTCACATTTAAAAAGTACCAGGCTTCTCCCTCCTTATATGTTGTTCAAGAGTCTCAAGAAAAAGTAATTGTGCTTTCATTTATTTTAAGGCATTATGTTGTGGGTACTTAAAGACCTTTAGTTATTAAGTATAATAAAAATCAGAAAACTACTTAATACAAATGTATGACCTAAAGAATTACTTTAAGGCAAACACTCTGTAACCACTGCTTATGCCAACAGGTAGAACCTTTCTAGTTCCACCATTTGTCATTTGTCTTCTACGAGTTTCTCTGAGTAAGGATTTTTTTGATTGCATTCTGTGGTGTACTTTAACATGTTTCCTTGATTTTTGTATTTCCTATGAATTGGAAGTTGCTTTCTTTATTTTTAATTTTTTT